TTGAGGAAACTCAACACAACCTAAGAAAGTCAACCAGAAAAACCACTGCACCCATCTGGCACAAGGATTACTACTTGGGAACAGGTGCTGCTGCACATAAATACCAGTATCCAATCTCTTCTCACATGGATTTTTCCCAACTAAGCCAGCAGCACAAGCACTTCTCCCTAGCAGTCACAAATCTCCAAGACCCCCAATCTTATTATGAAGCTGTGAAAGAGGAACACTGGAGACAGGCTATGAGGGATGAGAGAACAGCCCTAGAACTAAATGATACATGGGATGTAGTGGATGCCCCACCAGGAAAGAAGCTGGTAGGCAGCAAGTGGGTTTACAAAACCAAACTCCTTGCTGATGGATCAATCGAAAGGCGTAAAGCCAGAGTAGTTGCAAAGGGGTTCACACAAGTGTATGGTGTTGATTTCCTAGACACCTTCTCCCCAGTGGTAAAAATCAACACTGTCAAGACCCTCCTAGCTGTTGCCTCAGTCAAGAATTGGGAACTAAGCCAGATGGATGTAAGCAACGCTTACCTGAATGGAGAACTAGAAGAAGAGGTATACATGAAGTTACCTCCTGGAATGGAAATACCTGGCAAGGCGTGCAAGCTAAAAAAATCACTCTATGGCCTCAAACAGGCTGGAAGACAATGGTATGCAAGACTTACAGATGCCCTGATCAGATTTGGCTTCAACCAATCCTATTCAGACTACTCCCTCTTCACCAAAAAGACAAACCAAGGGATCACTGTCATCCTAGTGTATGTCGATGACTTAATACTATCAGGAGATGATCAGGACATGATTCAGGAAGCAAAGGCTTTCCTATCAAGGGAATTTAAAGTCAGGGATCTGGGAAAACTAAAGTATTTCCTGGGTTTGGAAATAGCGAGGAGCAGTGCTGGGATTTCAGTCACCCAGAGGAAGTACTGCCTCGACCTTTTGATCGATACAGGATTCCTGAGCTCAAAACCAACTAAGACTCCCTCAGACATGAAGACAAGATTACCACAATTCAATGATGAAGAATCAGAAGACCCACATGAGTACAAGTCCCTGGTTGGAAGATTAAGCTACCTAACCACCACAGGACCTGATATCTCATACTCAGTACAACAATTGTGCCAATTCCAGGCACAACCCAAGAAATCTCATCTCAAGGCTGCACACAGGATACTCAGGTACCTCAAAAACTCCCCAGGTCAAGGACTGTTCTTCGCATCAAACACTGATTTCACCCTAACAGGATACAGTGATTCGGATTGGGGAGCCTGCCCCGACACGAGGAGGTCAATTACAGGATACTGTACATTTCTGGGGGACTCGCTCATTACCTGGAAAGCGAAGAAGCAAGCAATTGTTTCGAAGTCCTCATCCGAGGCTGAATACCGAGCCCTATCCCAGTTGTCGTGCGAAATACAGTGGATCACCCAATTGCTGAAGGACTTGAATGTCGAGTACCAAGGTCCGGCCACCGTCTTCTGCGACAACAAATCCACCATACACATGGCAGAGAATCCGGTTTTCCACGAAAGAACCAAACATATCAAAATCGACTGCCATGTGATCAGGGAGAGGGTAAAGTCGAAGCTGATTAGTCTGAAATATGTGTGCATAGACAGGAACTTAGCCGACATATTCACCAAAGGATTAAGTGCACACAGATTCAAGTGGATTCTCTTCAAGCTGGGAGTATACGACATATACTCGCCAGCTTGTGGGGGACTGTCAAGTGGAATGGGACACTCTGCCTTGAAGCAAAGAGAAGAAGAAGAAGGGGAAAGTTCCAACGGTCGAGAATTCAAGGCAGAGGAAGAAGAAGAAGATGAAGAACAGCGTTTGGACTAATACGCTGCCGTCCCAACTTTACTGCACATATTTAGTTTTAGTCTGTGAATATTACATGTAATTACTAGATAGGGCCACTTGTCACTTGACAAGAGGATGAGGCCGTTAGAGGCACTCTGTCCTGCTGATGTATATATTCTGCAGCTGAGCTGCCAGTGAAATGCAGAAAAGGTTTCACAAAATTCATGCCTTCTCTTTCCAATTATTCTCACTCATTAACATTGCTGGCGAGAAGGTGAACATTCATGTGCTGATGGCTCTTGCAGCCTTTGCCTCTGTTTTTATGGGCAATGCCTTGGAAGGAGGCTTACTTCTTGCAATGTTCAATCTGGCTCATATTGGTAAAGGAATTGAAGTGTATTGCCGGTTGCAGCTTCACAAACATATGTGGAATGCTGTTAAATGCTTACACCTTACAGGCTTTTCTGTCTTGCAGCCGAAGAGTTCTCCACAGGTCGATCAATGGTAGATGTTAAAGAGTTGAAAGAGAACCAACCAGATTCCCGCCCTCGCGCTAGTTGTTAAAGAGGGAAATCTACCTGAACTCACGCATTTGGCCTACTCAAGTGTGCCAGTGCATGATATAGATAGAAGTGGGCTCTTTATGTTCTAGTTGGAGATGGGGAGGTTTGTAACATGGGACTAGTAATCATGGAAGTCGACAGTAATCATGGCAAAAGAGAAACTAAACATACGTTCCAGAAACAAATCTGTTTGGTCGTGAAATTTTTAGGCCCGTCATTTAAACTCTTGCACTGTGCTTGCTATAGAAGTGGCCAAATTTAGGTTATTTATGGGAGACATACATTTTAGATGCCTTTAACTTGATTGTTTCATGATCAGATTAGACCTAGTTTATAGATTTCATTTTTGTGAGAAGATTTCGCCTTAGGTATCTCTTGATCAGGAATTGTTCTTGTTTATTAGTATGTGTCTTCCGGAGTAATATAGGTTGGCAATAGATTGTTGCCCAGCACCCCTTAGAACATTCATAGCAGTTATTCTATTTTTGTAGGCTGTGCTTGTGGATTGTCAGATTTTCAAAGGTAGTGTAGCAATTACTATTGAGCATTTGACTGGGGAAGCAAAACCGATCGAAGCAAAGGAGGGAGATCGGATTCCGGTCAGTTAGTGCAAGGAACTTGGATGGTTGAATGATTGTCAAGGTATTGTCATTAAAAGTTAAATATAAGATACTTCGTGACGTTACTCATTGGATATCAACATGCGTGTCATGGTCTTTTATGATCATGGTCACCTGAAATTACTGGCTGTAGTTGACTTAATTTTTTATTTTTCATTTCTCGTGCTTGACGTGCTCAACAAAACTGTGTTGAATCATCTCTGGGTGCCATTATCGAACCTAATTCAGGCAACAAAGATATGGAAAGATTCAACACTAAATAGAATTTGGCAATTGACTGAAGAGGCCCAGTAAAACAAACCAAAACTTCATAGATGGCTCGATGAGTTTGGTGAGCAATACAGCAAGGTTGTAGTAGGGTTGTCGTTTGCTGTTGCTTTCCTTGGACCATTGTTTTTCAAATGGCCATTCATGAGTACTTCAGGAAACAAGAACAATCATCCTCTTATCGTGTTTGCTAACAAGGATAGTAGACTAGATAATCATCCTGAACTCCAAGTTTTTCTAATCTATAGTAGAACCCTGGTTATCTGGCCAAGGATTTGTTTCTATTCCTATTCTGGTGATCTTTTTGGGTAGAAAGTATGAATGTATTCTTCTGGAACTTCTAATTAGTGTTATAACTATCAACTGTTCTTGGTTTACCATGCAGCCTGCAGAGGATCAATCTTTAGAGCAATAGGATCAATGATGGCTGCATCACCACGTGCCTTGGCAGTAGCTCCATTTGCATACTCCACTGCCATTAGTTCCTATGCCAAAATGGTGCCTTGTGGTTTCGATAAAGATTTGATTCTTTGGTTTCTGTAGAAGAATTTGTATGGCCTTTCTTTTCCTGTAGCATGTTCAGTATTACTCGTTAACTTCCATGTGAATGTGTAAGTTATTAATTACGTCACTGTAGAGGCCTATAGGTACCAGATAGTAATGTTTTTTTTTTAATATTTATGTGGTGATGACGTGATTTATGCATTTGGACTGAAAGGTTCCATATTTTCTAAATGTTGAATTGAGGTATCAAGTTTCAATGTTTAATTGAAACCAATCTAATTGATCATCGAATTTTCTCTGAATGAAATGTCATTAATAGTTATGTTCTCTTTGGACACAGGGAATAGTACTTAAAGGAGGGCAGGTTCTGGATGCTCTAGCTTCCTGCCACACAAATGCATTTGATAAAAGTGGGAGACTGACTACAGGAGGTTGTATATTCAAAGCAATCGAGCCAATTCTTGGACATCAAGTAGGAAAAAATTTGACAACTCATGCTACTTCTTGTTGCAAACCCAGTTTTGAAAGAAAGCTCTTGCTGTTGCAACTGCTATGGAGAAGAGCACAACACATCTTATTGGGAGGTAATTTCATTTCTTGAATACGTCACCCCTTTCTACTACGTCCCATAAAGTTTTGGATCATTAGGAAAGCTGAGAGTAGCCTTGCAAGTTAGTGAGCATGTGGCAGCTGGAAACCAGCATCGGTAGGTGGAAAGACTAGAAAGTTATCAGTTTACCTTGTTATGTATGGTGGAAACTAAAACTTAGAGAACATATTTTAGTGTAACACCTTGTATCTGCTGGCTCGAGTGCAACCTTTTGCTTGCCTTGGCAAATTAGATATTAGAAACTGCCACTTTGAAAATTGAATACCAGATTTGAGTTCATTCTAACGTTCAGGAAACTTTTCATTTTTAGTAGAGATGTTGTAGATCATAGCACTGACAAAGACCTCCCTTCTGAATATTTTCCTGACAGAGGACTTGTTGTTACTCGAAATGACACTCAGGTAGCAAACTTTAATTCGCCGTGTCACGGTACTCGTGATTTGCGAAAAATGAGGTGGTATTATCTCAAATTATATATGCCCTTATGCAATGAAGTAGTTTTATTTTTTAGTACTATGGATGGAAAAATGGCTGAGGGAACTGATAGCTGTTATTTATGTACAGTCAGTAAGTGGAAGAGCTAGATCATTGAAAGCTTTCCTTGGCTCTGTTGAGTTCATTACTTCCTCTTTGTAAATCAGAAGACAAGTCGAGAGAAATTAAGGAAGCTGTCAGTGCATCTTCTCAAGGGAACGACAGTGTTATTTATTATCAGAGCACAAAGTGGAAAGAAGCGGACACTAAAACTCCAACTTGGTTGAATTTAAACTTGTGCAGGTAATATTGATTCATCTCGAGGATATACCTCGAGAAGGGGTTTCAGATGTGATTTCAGAAGTCAGAACTACAGGATAAAGCGAGGCTCCGTGTAATGATGTTAACAGGTGACCATGGATCAAGTGCAAGGAGAGTTGCACAAGCTGTGGGCATTTGTCAATTTCACTGTAGCTTGAAACCAGAGGACAAGCTGAATCACATAAAGACAAGGGACATAGGTAGTCATTGAAAGAACTGCTTAACATTCCAGTCTTGGCTGATCAGCTGTCTTCAGCATCTGAAACCAACATCGGTTGGCGGTTTCGTGGCAGGTGGTGGCCTAATCATGGTGGGTGAAGCCATCAATGATGTTGCAGCACTTGCCGCAGCAACTGTAGGAATTGTGCTAGCCCAGTGCGCTAGTGCAAACTGCCATAGCTGTGGCAGATGTTCTGTATTGCCAAGTCTCACCAAACAAGTTCCCTGGTATCATATCAATATCATTGAACAACTTTGTGCATCGTGCCCAATTATTGAATCATTTATCCCTGTCTAGGTTCTTCATTGTATTTTTTTCCCAACATTTGCACGTACACAGGTCAAACAGAATGTGGCGCTGGCTTTGACTTCCATAATTCTGGTTTCGATTCCATCTTTATTTAATCGGTCCGGTAACCAGCATATTCGGTGTCGGTGGCTTCCCATTCTCACAGAATTGAGTGGGGTTTGAGATGGTACATTGTCCAACAATGTCCAATATCTCCTGCTGCGGAGGAGTAACCGTTAGGTGGATGTAATGTACTGTGTGGTTGGTTTGTTGAATGAAATGCAGGTTCTTTAACACGGAAGTTGGTGCTCTCCTGAAATGCCTGAACTCGGTACGTGCTCTAAATGACCCGAAATGGTCGTGGAAGGAAGATATGCAGCACAGCAGCAGCTTAGCTCCCGTCGGACGAGTGTTGCCAGGTTAGACGGCACTGCCAATAAAAATAATATGATAACCAACTTAGTACTTACCAAGGCGCTGAAGCTATGTTTTAGTTGAAGGCTCACTCTCTTTCAGTCTTTACTCTTCAATCAATTCATCTTTTCTTACGTTTTCAATCTAATGATAGATGCGCATATGAAATGTGTGGCTTTCTTGCCAGAGTTTGTTGTTAAGATCACAAAGTCTTCCTCCCAAATCAATGTTTGTTATTTTTGGATATCAATTATGCCAACTTGAATATTTGTACGCTCTCTTCTGACACTAGTCTGGGTACATGGGATAATTGTACGAGCAGTTTGGATATAATTTTTAATTTGCGCAAAATGTTCATTTGTCTTCCAGCTTAAGGTACTAGGTGCTGGGATTGACCGGCATATGGGAAAATTGCTGGACTTTGCAACAAAACTGGGACATATGATAGAAAAGAGGGAACAACATGACAGGTTCAAGGTCGCGGATTCCAGGAGGAGACCTTTGGAGAATGCTGTTGAGGAGGTGCTAGAGCAGCTTAAAACAGAGGTGGTGGAAGACCAAGTGGAGAATATTGAAGCTAAAATGGAAATGGATGAGCAGCCTCTAGAGAAGGACCAGGTCGAGCCACAAGTGGAGACAACTAGAGAGAAATGTGAAGAAGATCCTAAAGAGAAGAATAAATTTGAGGTGGTGGAGAATGAAGCTGAGAAGACTGTAGAGACACCGGACGAGGAGGTGTTTGAGCCGACAGTCCCTATGGTGATACACTATACAGTCCCAGATACCTCTTTTGAGGACATTTTGTAGATAGCTCATGAGGCTACTAGCGCTGCTAATGCCGAGGAAGAAGACCCACCTACAGATGTGGTGGAGTCGTTCTCTCAACTTGCAGAGATGGGAATGTTGCCTACAGACGAGGAGTTGGTAGAAGCGGCTTGTAAGAGCGCTGAGAGGAGTCCAGATGTGATTATCACGCATGAGAGGAATATGACTGACGAGGAGAGAGACCGTCTGTATAGCTACACACCTGAGGAATGGCTTGCAACACTAAAGACCCCAGAGTTCGAGAGGTCGAAGAAGAACACATATGCTTCTTCATCAGTATATTATTTGTCGAAGGATGTGTCGACAAAGCTCGACCCAGTTACTCGTCGTATGGTTGAGTTCGTCTTCAGTACCCCTGAGGGTCAATCTACAAGTGGTTGAGGCTTATGGTCATTTCTTGAACGACAAAGCACTTGCTGGTGACAAGAACAGAGTTATCTTTCCGTTCACTTTGGTGTAAGTAGGCTCTTCACTCACACCTTACAATTTTTAGATATCCAGTAACTAATTAGCTATTATTTTCCTTTGCAAACAGCAACTTGCCATACTTAATTCTCAGACGAATGTGCCCCCGTCCATGGATATACTCAATGTGGTCATTGAACTGACCCAGCGGGTTCAAGTCTTCAAACATGTTGTATGGGACAAATTAGAATATGTAAGTGAATCCTTATTCTATCTTGATACTGATTTACGTGGTTGTGGATACTAGTCTGGGTTATTGGATATTTATCCGAGAGAAAAACTGATTTGTTTGAATATTTGCCTGTGAATATCTGAAATTTTAGTTTTGGATACTAGTCTGGGTTTGTTGGATATTTATCCGAGAGAATAACTGATTTTTTTCAAGATTTGCCTGTGAATATCTGAAATGTTAGTTTTGGATACTAGTCTGGGTTTATTGGATATTTATCCGAGAGAATAACTGATTTTTTTTGTATGTTTCAGATTTTTTCCCCTGTGCATACAAACAAACACTACCGGGTCTACGCTGCTGATCTAAGGAGTCAGAAGACTTTCCTTCTGGACAGCATGAAACCCAAGCCAGCAGTGGCCAAGGTGGATCACAGTCCCATGGGGAAATTGATATTAGAGTATGGGGCTGCTTTCCTTGCAAAGTACAACATCGATGCTCCCTTGCATGAATGGGAATTCTTAATTACGGATGTTCCTCAACAAGAAGGGCACGATGACTGTGGAGTGTTCGCATGTATGTTCATGGAGCATTGGGCGGGTCACATTCCATCGGAATATAAGGAAACTTGGCACTTGGCAAAGCACGTGGAGCACCAGCGAGCATCTATTGCAGGCAGTCTCCTTCAATGGAAATACAACAAAGTAAGGAATGCCATACTTGAGGAGGCAAATGAGTGGGCAACACATAAGGAGAAAGGGAAGAGAAGCTGAAACTTACCTCCTTATGTTTCATGGGACATATGTTGATGTTAAGGTATTAAGGTGATTGGGTTATTTTGGGAAGTTTTGGAGAAAAGGAAACACTAACTCTATCCTGATTGCTCGCTTTATTAGTTTAAGGTGATTGTGTTATTTTGGTAACTTTTGGACAAAAGTAGACACTAACTATGTTGATTAAATTGCTCGCTTTATTAGTTTAAAGTAGACAACACTAAGTCCATCCCTGATTTTTGTTATATCCAAAACACCCAGTATATCAAGGATGGATAAGAATATCTTTCCTTCAACATAAAATATAACAAAAATCAGGGATACACTTAGTGTTGTCTACTTTAAACTAATAAAGCGAGCAATTTAATCAACATAGTTAGTGTCTACTTTTGTCCAAAAGTTACCAAAACAACACAATCGCCTTAAACTAATAAAGCGAGCAATCAGGATAGAGTTAGTGTCTCCTTTTCTCCAAAACTTCCCAAAATAACCCAATCACCTTAATACCTTAACATCAACATATGTCCCATGAAACATAAGGAGGTAAGTTTCAGCTTCTCTTCCCTTTCTCCTTATGTGTTGGCCACTCATTTGCCTCCTCAAGTATGACATTCCTTACTTTGTTGTATTTCCATTGAAGGAGACTGCCTGCAATAGATGCTCGCTGGTGCTCCACGTGCTTTGCCAAGTGCCAAGTTTCCTTGTATTCTGACGGAATGTGACCCGCCCAGAGTTCCATGAACATGCATGCGAACACTCCACAGTCATCGTTTCCTTTTTGTTGGGGAACATCCGCAATTAAGAATTCCCAATCATGCAAGGGAAAATCGATGTTGTGCTTTGCAAGGAAAGCAGCCCCATACTCTAATATCAATTTCCCCATGGGACCGTGATCCACCTTGGCCACTGCTGGCTTGGGTTTCATGCTTTCCAGAAGGAAAGTCTTCTGACTCCTTAGATCAGCAGCGTAGACCCGGTAGTGTTTGTCTGTATGCACAGGGGAAAAAAATCTAAAACAGAGAAAAAAATCAGTTATTCTCTCGGATAAATATCCAATAAACCCAGACTAGTATCCAAAACTAACATTTCGGATATTCACAGGCAAATCTTCAAACAAATCAGTTATTTCTCTCGGATAAATATCCAATAAACCCAGACTAGTATCCAAAACTAACATTTCAGATATTCACAGGCAAATCTTCAATTAAATCAGTTATTCTCTTGGATAAATATCCAATAAACCCAGACTAGTATCCACAACCACGTAAATCAGTATCGAGATAGAATAAGGATTCACTTACATATTCTACTTTGTCCCATACAATATGTTTGAAGACTGGAAACCGTTGGGCAGTTCAATGACCGCATCGAGGTTCTCCTTGGATGGGGCACATTCGTCTGAGAATTAAGTAGGGCAAGTTGTTGTTTGCAAAGTAAAATAATAGCTAATTAGTTACTGAATATCTAAAAATTGTAAGGTGTGAGTGAATAGCCTACTTACACCAAAAGTGAACGGAAAGATAACTCTGTTCTTGTCACCAGCAAGTGCTTTATCGTTCAAGAAATTACCATAAGCCTCAACCACTTGTAGATTGACCCACTCTAATCGCTTCAATGTCAACAGATGAAGACGGGCGAGTTTAACTGAAGGAGTGTGCACCACCAAGCCCTTACCCTCAGGGTTACTGAAGACGAACTCAACCATACGACGAGCAACTGGGTCGAGCTTTGTCGACACATCCTTCGACAAATAATATACTGATGAAGAAGCATATGGGTTCTTCTTCGATCTCTCGAACTCTAGGGTCTTTAGTGTTGCAAGCCATTCCTCAGGTGTGTAGCTATACAGACGGTCTCTCTCCTCGTCAGTCATATTCCTCTCATGCGTGATAATCACATCTAGACTCCTCTCAGCGCTCTTACAAGCCGCTTCTACCAACTCCTCGTCTGTAGGCAACATTCCCATCTCTGCAAGTTGAGAGAACGACTCCAGTTGTCTCCACTTGTGGCTCGACCTGGTCCTTCTCTAGAGGCTGCTCATCCATTTCCATTTTAGCTTCAATATTCTCCACTTGGTCTTCCACCACCTCTGTTTTAAGCTGCTCTAGCACCTCCTCAACAGTATTCTCCAAAGGTCTCCTCCTGGAATCCACGACCATAAACTTGTCATGCCCTTCCCTCTATTCTATCATATGTCCCAGTTTTGTTGCAAAGTCCAGCAATTTTCCCATATGCTGGTCAATCCCAGCACCTAGTACCTTAAGCTGGAAGACAAACGAACATTTTGTGCAAATTAAAAACTATATCCAAACTGCTCGTACAATTATCCCATGTACCCAGACGAGTATCAGAAGAAAGTGTACAAATATTGAAGTTGGCAGAATTGATATCCAAAAATAACAAACATTGATTTCACAGAAATATCCAAATGCATAAAATTAATATCCAAACCTCACAAACCAGTATTCATAACTGAAAAGAAACCACAAGCTGATATCCAAATGAAACCAACAAATATTCCAGAACAACAAACTAAAATCCGACTAATATCCAAAGCCATTCCAACATGGCATCAAATTCACGGAAAATAGTACAACCCCCCACCAAACAACAGATAACAGTAGATCAAATTCACTCTTGCTGTTCCAAATTCCGGACAATCGTTTGGACCTTGTCCCTTCGAGCCACCCACTTTTCAATCATTCTCTCAGTCATTTCCTTCAATCCCTTAAGCTACACATATGTTGTGAAATATTTAGGTTACTATATCGTCCAAGTCTACCAATGCACGATCTTAGTTAGGGAGGAAGAAAACATTTTACCTGCCCTAGCGGAAGGCTAGTCAAATCTTCAATCTCCCACCATTCTGCGGTGGGCAACGGTGCACGATCAGGAGGAGGAGCTGAATTGCTCCCAGCTGCTGCACTAGTACCCCCAATAGCCGCCGGCTGGAGCTGCCTGCGAGAGGCCATTTCTTCCCTACTCAGCAAAGCGGCAGCTAGGACATATCTTCCCATGACTAAGGGGATAGATGTGCTTGCCCTCTCGACACTTTGCTTCCACCAAAACCGGCAGCTAGGTATGGTCTTTGTGTGCAACCCGCCTAGTTTTAGAGAGTCCAGCAGATAGAGCTGTAAAAAAAAATTACAATTAATAAATGTTAAGCTCCATTTCTAGCAATTTAATCAACAAATATCCACAGTAGTCACAAACAGTATCTTATGTGACTAAACTGATATCCAGAAATCATTTTAAGCTAATTTCTTACAAAACAAAGAGTATTTGAGTTCAGTTAGATGATACCCAAATACGAAATTCACTAGTTTTCATGCAATTGAACCAACAATTATAGAAAAGGTTAGGACTTACTATCAAGAAGTAGCAATCTCCGAGAACCCACACACACGGCGAGCCCAACGCCTTTGCACTATGTTCTTTTTTCTTGGCAACAGTCAACTCTACTTTCAGTTCACGGACAATAAATGTACACCAATCGTACACCCTCACGTCCTCAACACTCCCACCTATGTATGGCGCAAAGTCCAGCTTGAACCTCCGAGAAAATGTTGGCACGAGCATCTAACCAGTAGCTAGCAACAAGAATTGCTTGACAGCAATTGCAACAGGTGGCCTAGGACCGTTGGCTGGAATGGCTAACTCCTGCAGCTTCTTGATAGGAACCATGCAAGCCCTGTTCGGAATCATGCCAACTTCCTCGCTGAAACTGTCGAGCATCCCCCCCCCCCCCCTAAACGTTCTTCAAATCAATCACAGCCCCACCGAGAGGAAGGTCGTACACACGTGCCACATCCTTAGCTGTGATGTCGAAGACCTTCTTCGAGTCTCCTTCCCCAAAAACAAAAGTACTGGATGAGGAGTCATAAGCAGCCATCAAGTCGTCCATGAAGACATTGGGTATCTTCGGCATGCGAAGCTCCAATAGGCCCCAGAATCCTGCCTTCTCGACTTCTTTCTTGCATGCTGCATAGTATCCAACATCTTGTTTCCAGTAGTTTATAATTTTGAAGAGGGGATAGGTGGAGCCACGAAATCTGAAATATGAGCCGCAGGGACCCTCTCCCTCATCATCTTCTTCCTCAACTTCTGGAATAGCAGGCGGCGGCTGCCTTGATCCTTCTCCTTGACGAGATCTTGATGCAACCATTTTCGTTCTCTTTATCCCGGGTCGTTCCTGAAACACAGTTATATATTTAGCAAAATATCCATAATCCAAATAACTAAAATGCACACTTATATACAATTATTATCATAGTAAAGCAAAATTGTATCCAAACGAAGATAACTTATATCCATGAAAAAAATATCCATAATACTTAGAAAAATAACTAAAACGAACAGTTAAGTATCCACACTAACAGAACTGATATCCACACATCAGACACATTAGATTATTTTTTTAGCCAATACATACAATTATTATCGTAGTAAAGCAAAAGTGTATCCAAACGGAGATAACTGATATCCATGAAAAAAATATCCATAATACCCAGAAAAATAACTAAAACGAACGGTTAAGTATCCACCTTAACAGAACTGATATCCACACATGACACATCAGACACATCAGATTATTTTTTTTAGCCAATATAACTAATCGAGAAACGAAGTGAGAAATCAAACCTTTGGTGGTTGTTCATCCGGCGGCTGCTGTGATAATCCAGCTGCTTCACGAGATTTCGCTGCAGATTTTGGTGCAACAGTTTTGGATTTCTTCCTCACGGGTTGTTCCTGAAACATAGTTAGATATTAAGAAAACTATCCAGCCAAGGAAAATATTAAAATGCATCGGACTAGTAATTTTTAGCCAACATAACCAATCGAGAAACGGAGTAAGAAATGAAACATGTGGTTGTTGTTCATCCGGTGGCTGCTTTGTTGATCCTTCTCCCTCATTGTTGGGCTTTGAGTTCTTTTTCGGTCTCCCCATTCACTGAAACAATATAAAAAATGACCAGAATAAGTATCAGAAGTGACAAAACTGATATCCATATAACCTTTAATCAAGGAATCGACAAATGATACCCAGATTCAACAAAATCGTATCCAACAAACCCCCAAAATGGAATTCGAGAAACCATAATGAAACAATATATAAAATGACCAGAATAAGTATTGGAAGTGACAAAACTAATATCCATGTAACCTTTAATCAAGGAATCAACAAACAATACCTAGATTCCCCAAAATTGTACCCAACAAACCCCCAAAATGGAATTCGAGAAACCATAAATCTGGTAACTAGAAAAAAAAACCCAGAGCCCCAAAATTCGAATCCCACAGACCCAGAATCTGGTAATCTACAAACAAAACCCTGAACACCCATATTCGAATCCATGAAACCCTAAATCTACAAATCGAGAAACGAAACCCTAAACCCCAAAATTCGAATCCCACAGACCCAGAATCTGGTAATCTACAAACAAAACCCTAAACACCCATATTCGAATCCATGAAACACTAAATCTACAAATCGAGAAACGAAACCCTAAACCCCCAAATTCGAATCCCACAATCACAAAATCTGGTAATCTAGAATCAAAACCTAAACACCCTAAATCGAATCGCATGAACCATAAATTTTCAAATCCATAAACAAAACCCAGATTTCCAAAAAAAAAATTCATGAAACCGAAACCTTAACATAAATTTTTAAATCCACAAACAAAATGAACAATAAAGAGAGGAGAAGTCTTCTACCTCAACGTCTTCTTCTACCTCCCACTATCGGCGGCGACGGCAGCGGCCTTCTTCGTCGGCGAAGTTGGCGGCGTCTTCTTCTTTCTTCTTCGTCGGCGGCGTCTTCTTCCTCGTCGGTCGGGATAGCTTCAACGTCGTCGGTGGCGGGAGATCCAACAAGTCGTCGCCGACCTCGCAGCCCTCGTCGCTGTTGGTGGTGGTTTTCGGGAGAAGAAGAAAAAGAGAGGGAGAGGGTTCGAAAGTTGGAGAGAGAGGGGAAATGGCGGACGTTTAGTTGAACTTGGGTTTTGGGTTTGAAATTTTGGGTTTTTGTTTTTTTTTTATTTCTGGCCCCACTTTTCTCAAAAGTGGCTCAGCTTGCCCAAAAAAATATCCATCCTCACAAAACAGTGCCGGTGATTCCTCACCCTCCGATGGTGGCTCGGCAAAGTGGCCCATCATCCCACCCTGTTAGTATCTGCTAACCACTTAAAGGTTAGCAGAATAACGCTATTGGCGAATCACCACCACTATCACCCCCATAGCCACAATCACCACGAAGATACCCACCGTAATCACCACGAGGTCCATCGACACCACCATAATCACGGCCGCGGCCACCATCATCACCATCACGGAGACGAGTTTGAAAAGCTAACCGGCGCGCAGAAAGCTGTGATTAGGTTTTCGGATGCGGTGAGATGGACGAATCTCGCCAGTCTGCCGAGGGAGGAGCACTTGCAGCTCTGTTGCTACCTAGCGGCTATGTTTCTCGCCGCTGTTATTTGTCCGTACCTTGCGCCAAAATCCGTGGGTAAGACACTATAAAATGCCTTGATGATCGTCGGTTTCCCTCTGGTTGGGGTACGGTTCATCACTCTTGCAGTTACTGCATCTATATTTTTCTTCTTATTTTGCGTGCTTTTCAATTCTCCTTTGCAGATTGATCTTATTTTTTCGCTAGAAACGAAAGTTTAGCAATAATTATAACTGAGGATGAGATTGTGTGCGTCAAGTCTCGGCATCCCTAGATGCGCTCATTAACATTGCTGGCGAGAAGGTGAACATTCATGTGCTGATGGCTCTTGCAGCCTTTGCCTCTGTTTTTATGGGCAATGCCTTGGAAGGAGGCTTACTTCTTGCAATGTTCAATCTGGCTCATATTGGTAAAGGCATTGAAGTGTATTGCCGGTTGTAGCTTCACAAACATATGTGGAATGCTGTTAAATGCTTACGCCTTATAGGCTTTTCTGTCTTGCAGCCGAAGAGTTCTCCACAGGTTGATCAATGGTAGATGTTAAAGAGTTGAAAGAGAACTAACCAGATTCCGCCCTCACGCTAGTTGTTAAAGAGTGAAATCTACCTGAACTCACGCATTTGGCCTACTCAAGTGTGCCAGTGCATGATATAGATAGAAGTGGGCTCGTTATGTTCTAGTTGGAGATGGGGAGGTCTGTAACATGGGACTGGTAATCATGGAAGTCGGCAGTAATCATGGCGAAAGAGAAACTAAACATACATTCCAGGAACAAACCTGTTCGGTCGTGAAATTTTTAGGCCAGTCATTTAAACTCTTGCACTGTGCTTGCTATAGAAGTGGCCAAATTTAGGTTATTTATGGGAGACATACGTTTTAGATGCCTTTAACTTGATTGTTTCATGATCAGATTAGACCTAGTTTATAGATTTCATTTTTGTGAGATGATTTCGCCTTAGGTATCTCTTGATCAGGCATTTTTCTTGTTTATTAGTATGTTTCTTCCGGAGTAATATAGCTTGGCAATAACATTGCCAAGTATGGCACTCTATTTGTTCTTCTCTGGAGACTACTTCAGGGGTGATTGATCAAGCTGAACCGGGGAAATATATATTTGATATTCTTTGCTGCACATTTCAACCATGCCAATAGATTGTTGCCCAGCACCCCTTAGAACATTCATAGCAGTTATTCTATTTTTGTAGGTTGTGCCTGTGGATTGTCAGATTTTCAAAGGTAGTGCAACAATTACTATTGAGCATTTGACTGGGGAAGCAAAACCGATCGAAGCAAAGGTGGGAGATTGGATTCCGGCCAGTTGGTGCAAGGAACTTGGATGGTTGAATGATTGTCAAGGTATTGTCATTAAAAGTTAAATATAAGATACTTCGAGACGTTACTCATTGGATATCAACATGCTTGTCATGGTCTTTTATGATCATGGTCACCTGAAATTACTGGCTGTAGTTGACTTATTTTTTTATTTTTCACTTCTCGTGCTTGACGTGCTCAACAAAACTGTGTTGAATCATCTCTAGGTGCCATTATCGAACCTAAGTCAGGCAACAAAGATATGGAAAGATTCAACACTAAATAGAATTTTGCAATTGATTCAAGAGGCCCAGTAAAACAAACCAAAACTTCAAAGATGGCTCGATAAGTTTGGTGAGCAATACAGCAAGGTTGTAGTAGGGTTGTCGTTTGTTGTTGCTTTCCTTGGACCATTGTTTTTCAAATGGCCATTCATGAGTACTTCATGTAACAAGAACAATCATCCTCTTATCCTGTTTGCTAACAAGGATAATAGACTAGATAATCATCCTGAACTCCAAGTTTTTCTAATCTATAGTAGAACCCTGGTTATCTGGCCAAGGATTTGTTTCTATTCCTATTCTGGTGTTCTTTTTGGGTAGAAAGTATGAATGTATTCTTCTGGAACTTCTAATTAGTGTTATAACTATCAACTGTTCTTGGTTTACCATGCAGCCTGCAGAGGATCAATCTTTAGAGCAATAGGATCAATGATGGCTGCATCACCACGTGCCTTGGCAGTAGCTCCATTTGCATACTCCACTGCCATTAGTTCCTATGCCAAAAAGGTGCCTTGTGGTTTCGATAAAGATTTTAATCTTTGGTTTCTGTAGAAGAATTTGTATGGCCTTTCTTTTCCTGTAGCATGTTCAGTATTACTCGTTAACTTCCATGTGAATGTGTAAGTTATTAATTACGTCACTGTAGAGGCCTATAGGTACCAGATAGTAATGTTTTTTTTAATATTTATGTGGTGATGACTTGATTTATGCATTTGGACTGAAAGGTTCCATATTTTCTAAATGTTGAATTGAGGTATCAAGTTTCAATGTTTAATTGAAACCAATCTAATTGATCATCGAATTTTCTCTTAATGAAATGTCATTAATAGTTATGTTCTCTTTGGACACAGGGAATAGTACTTAAAGGAGGGCAGGTTCTGGATGCTCTAGCTTCCTGCCACACAAATGCATTTGATAAAAGTGGGAGACTGACTACAGGAGGTTGTATATTCAAAGCAATCGAGCCAATTCTTGGACATCAAGTAGGAAAAAAGTTGACAACTCATGCTGCTTCTTGTTGCATACCCAGTTGCGAAAGGAAGCTCTTGCTGTTGCAACTGCTATGGAGAAGAGCACAGCACATCTTATTGGAAGGTAATTTCATTTCTTGAATACGTCACCCGTTTCTACTACATCCCATAAAGTTTTGGATCATTAGGAAAGCTGAGAGTAGCCTTGCAAGTTAGTGAGCATGTGGCAGCTGGAAACCAGCATCGGTAGGTGGAAAGACTAGAAAGTTATCAGTTTACCTTGTTATGTATGGTGGAAACTAAAACTTAGAGAACATATTTTAGTGTAACACCTTGTATCTGTTGGCTCGAGTGCAACCTTTTGCTTGCCTTGGCAAATTAGATATTAGAAACTGCCACTTTGAAAAACGAATACCAGATTTGAGTTCATTCTAACGTTCAGGAAACTTTTCCTTTTTAGTAGAGATGTTGTAGATCATAGCACTGACAAAGACCTCCCTTCTGAATATTTTCCTGGCAGAGGACTTGTTGCTACTCGAAATGACACTCAGGTAGCAAACTTCAATTCGGCGTGTCACGGTTACTCGTGATTTGCGAAAAATGAGGTGGGATTATCTTAAATATATATGCCCTTATGCAATGAAGTAGTTTTATTTTTTAGTACTATGGATGGAAAAATGGCTGAGGGAACTGATAGCTGTTATTTATGTACAGTCAGTAAGTGGAAGAGCTAGATCATTGAAAGCTTCCCATGGCTCTGTTGAGTTCATTACTTCTCTTTGTAAATCAGAAGACAAGTCGAGAGAAATTAAGGAAACTGTCAGTGCATCTTCTCAAGGGAACGACAGTGTTATTTATTATCAGAGCACAAAGTGGAAAGAAGCGGACACTAAAACTCCAACTTGGTTGAATTTAAACTTGTGCATGTAATATTGATTCATCTCGAGGATATACCTCGAGAAAGGGTTTCATATGTGATTTCAGAAGTCAGAACTACAGGATAAAGCGAGGCTCCGTGTAATGATGTTAACAGGTGACCATGGATCAAGTGCAAGGGAGTTGCACAAGCTGTGGGCATTTGTCAATTTCACTGTAGCTTGAAACCAGAAGACAAGCTGAATCACGTAAAGACAAGGGACATAGGTAGTCATTGAAAGAACTGGTTAGCATTCCAGTCTTGGCTGATCAGCTGTCTTCAGCATCTGAAACCAACATCGGTTGGCGGTCTCACAGAATTGAGTGGTTTGAGATGGTACATTGTCCAACAATGTCCAAGATCTCCTACTGCAGAGGAGTATCCGTCAGATGGATGTACTGTGTGGTTGGTTTGTTGAATGAAATGCAGGTTCTTTAACACGGAAGTTGGTGCTCTCCTGAAATGCCTAAACTCGGTACGTGCTTTAAACGACCCGAAATGCTTGTGGATGGAAGATATGCAGCAGCTCAGCTCCCGTCGGACGAGTGTTGCCAGGTTAGACGACACCGCCAATAACAATAATATGATAATTGATAACCAACTTACCAAGGCGCTGAAGCTATATTTTAGTTGAAGGATCACTCTCTTTCGGTCTCTACTCTTCAATCAATTCATCTTTTCTTACGTTTTCAATCTAATGATAGATGCGCATATGAAATGTGTGGCTTTCTTGCCAGAGTTTGTTGTTAAGATCACAAAGTCTTCCTCCCAAATGTGCCACGTTTGCATGTTCAGTTTTAGTTGTAGACTTGTAGTAGCCTGTCGTGGTCCCTGAAAATCAAAGTGGTGTGGAGATTCTACTTTTACGTGCACAAACATTTTAGTTTTGTTGGATAGGTTTATATTATTATTATTATTATTATTATAGATATTAAAAAAAAAAATGTAAATGAAAGAGTCGTCTCGTCTTGCTTTCCCGGGTGCCACTTGGTGTGATTATCTTTGACTTTTTTCTGGACGTTGTAGGCAGAAGAAAGAAAGAAGATGTATAGTTGGCAGATCAATTTCAGTTTTGCTTCGTTACAAATTGATGGCGTAACAGAAATCGAACAAGGAGGAGGAGAAGAGAGAAAGAAGCGTGTGTTTTGTGTAACTGCCAATTTGCCTACTCCTTCCTTTGGCGCTGTGGGGCCCGTCGACCGCCACCACGGGAAGAAACCGTGTTCCTCTTCCAAACTTCCTTCGTTTCCGTTTTCCATCTCTCATTAATAATACTAAAGTTTCCAGATCTTTCTCGCAACTAAAACTGCCAAACCACCTCCCCAACCAACCTTAGTTAACGTTCGTTCCCCTTCACATTCGACCTTTGACGGGTAATCTTCTACCATATCAAATCACTCAACTCTTCGTCATAGTTTCAGAGCAATAATAGAGAAGCATATTATGGAAATGGGAGTGATTGAATTTGTTCTGCAGTTTGCAATTTCTGATGAAGAGCAATAATGGATGAACAAATCTAGAAATTGCCTAATAGTCTCCGAGTTTTCAATTTGAAAATTGCTTTCATTTCATGAGGTGGTAGGCTTTCTCTTCCTTACCACTTTCGCCCCCAAATCTCACAAGACATGTTTTTTTTTTCTTCATCATTGAATTGGGTGAGAAATCCTTTGGCTCCCCATCGTCGCATCTCTGCTGCAATGCCATTCATATGCCAACTTTTAACCTAACATACATATTATATTTATATATATATATCTGGATTTTTAACTTTCTTCTGCAACTATTACCCAGCTTCCTTGTTTTACCTCATCCATCTCTTCCATTTTCCTCTGTACAATGGCCTTCAAAATTATTCCCCCTACTCCCCAAACAACAACAAGAAACAACCCTTTCCCATCTTCTTTCCCACCAACTACGTCCAGTTCTTGGATTCTTTCTGCCTAATCACTCTACTCAATTTTACCCACCCCAACCCTATTCACCGCCGCTGTAACACTCCTGAACCCACTGCCTGCCGCCGCCTGGAAACACATTCCAACACCCCCACCACCACCGCTGCCGACGCCGCCACCACCACCACCAATCTGCCTCTGCTCCATCATATATGTCCTGACCTCCCTCTTTATCATCTCCTGCATCACCGCCATGAACTCCGAGCCGAAACCCACAATCCCTGACCCGGACGGCTCCACTAGATTATTCGCCGATGCCGGAACGGTGATCGGCGCCGGAGGTATCATCGGCGGCAACAGTGCCATGGCAGTAGTAGCGGCCTGATGGTGATTGTGAGTTGGCTCGGGAACTCGAGGGGTCGAGGCGGCGTCGGAGGAAAAATCGGTCCCCGGGAGGGACAGACACAAGGAAGTGGGCGGGTCTTCGTTTCTGCTGCTACACGACGCCGTCGCAGCGGTGGCCGTAGCTTCGGCCGGTGGGACCACCCCGCCGGTTCTCGGCACGGGCCTGAACACGTGCGGGGCAGGAGCGGCGGATAAAACAGGAGGCGCAGTTGGCACGCTGGAATAGTCGCTGACGTCAGATCCAGATGGACTCCCGGGGTTCATGCTAACTCCAGTGAAGACGGGCGCACCGGATCCCGCACTCATCGACCTCTTCAACGGCTGGCAGCAATCCCCCAAATTACCATCGTACCCTCCCTCCCCGCCGTCCGACGCGGAGGAAGAGGAGGAGCACTTCCTCTTGAGCGTGGAGTTCCAGTGGTTCTTGATGGCGTTGTCGGTGCGGCCCTGGAGGAGGCGGGCGATCGTCGCCCACTTGTTCCCGAACCGAGCGTGCGCGCGGACGATCGTCTCGTCCTCCTCCGCGGTGAAGGCGCGGTGCTCGACCTGCGGCGAGAGCTGATTGCACCACCGGAGTCGGCAGGATTTCCCCGATCGGCCTGGGATCGACTTGCTGATCAGCGACCAGTTCCGCGGGCCGTGCTTCTCGACGAGGCGCTGGAGCTTTTCGTCTTCCTCGGGGCTCCATGGACCTTTGATTCGATCTATATCTCTTCCTGTAATAGCCATTTCGGTTGATCTTATCACAAAGGCGAAGGAGTAGAATGGAGGTTTTGGCCGGCGGTTGAGATTTCCCGATGGCCGGTAGAGAGAGAGAGAGAGAGAGAGTTGGTTGTTTGGAGAGGGGATAGAGGAGGGGAGAATATATATCTCTCTCTTATATGTGTGCGGGGGAGAGAGAGAGGAGCGAGGTATATAAAGGGGCGACCGGGCTAGCCGGTGAAAGGAGGGGAGTTAAGGGAACTGGGAAAGGAAGCGGTTGAGGTTGGGATACAGCTGGCAAACGGACACGCGTCACATCTTTTTTTTTTTTTTTGACAATACACGCGTCACATCTCACTAGCACTGATTTACATCTCACTAGCACTGATTTACATACATTAATATAAATCTCTCTTTCTCTCTCTTATTCAAAATAAAAAATATCTCTTGCTTGCTTCTTCTGGCTCTGCTCTCTCAGGCCTACAAATATTTTCGAATTAATACAATATTATTTATTATTTTTCATGGTTTGGTTTGTTTTGGCGGATTGGGGGACGAAGTTGACTCGACCGGTAAAGGAGCGTAAGCTTCACTCTCTCTGGGGATGAGAGAAACATCATCAGGCCTACTACTGTTTTAAACTGCTTATTAGGTCAGGATTAAGAGGTAATTATTTTGAACACATTGGATGGATTTGGATTTGTACAAGTAATTTCATGGGATTAGGAGAGTGAGAGAAGGTGAGTATTGACGAAATTATGAAACGGAAATCCCCTACGTGCTTTTGGAATCGTAATTGGTAAAATGACAGAATCGTCCTTGGGAAGTAATAAGGATCGTGGGGAGTGTGGAGCGGACAAATGTAGGGGTAGAAATGGAAAAAGAGTGGAGGTGGGAAGCGTAGGTTAGGATAAGGATGGGAAACGGTTGAGGTTTCAAATTTTTTTTTTTTTTGTGGAGTTCTGACTTTGACTGGAGGGCGCCAGCCTGTATGCCATTTTCTCCTTTCTTTCTTTCTCTCTCTCTCTCCCACCTTTTTTTTTTCTTTAATTTTTTTTCTTTTTCACAAACTAAAAAACAAAAGGAGGGGCGAACGGCCGCACGGAAAGTGGTGAGGTGGCGCAAGACGACAAGAGCGGTCGCCAAATCGGGGAAAAAATCCAAAACTACCACTGTTTTAAAAAAAAATTACAAAAATACCACCCACTCCATAAAATTTCCAAAAATACCACCCTTAATTTAAAACCGCCCTTCTAAGGAGCGGTTTACATAAAAACCGCGCCCCCAGGCGGCGGTTAAACCTAAAAACGCGCCCCCAAGGCGCGGTTTGACCATGCATGGCTGTCAAACCGCTTTGCCAGGTGGCGGTGCATCAAACCGCTCGTCCGAGGAGCGATCTGACGGCTAAAATGGCTGCCAAGTAAGCGATCCGCGTCGCCCCACATAAACCGCTCCCCCGAGGCGCGGTTTGACCGTTGGAAAAAGCAAACCGCCCTCCCGAGGCGCGGTTTGACTATCGGGAAAAGGAAACCGCGTGCTGGGGGCGCGGTTTTTGGTTGCGGGAATTTACCAAACCGACCCTCCCCCAGGCGGTTTGAAAGCTATATAAACCCCCCCCCACCCCCTCATTTCTGCACACCATCCACCACACTCCCCTCTCTCCCTCTAATTTCTCTCCACCCAACCCCTCCCCACACAACCTTAGAATTAGTTTTTTTGTTGGTTGCGGCCTAAGTCCGATCTGCCTCCAAAAAACTTTTCTTTGGTTTTCACTAAAAAACCGTCGAACCTCTGTCCGGATTCCGAGAGAATGGCCGATTTCGCTCAAGAAGAGGGTCTTTTTTATGATGATTATCAAACGGTACGAACTCATTTTTCCCAATTGTTGTTGTTGTTATAATGACTTATTTAATTTATATACTAATGATTTATGTTATTGTTATGCTATCGTAGGTTGGGCCGGATGTTGATATTTTCAATCAACGATATTACGTTGATCAAGGACCGATCGATCCGACAGTTTTATACGATCAAGCAAATCATCGTTCAAGAGACGTTTGGAACGACCATAAGGTACATATTATTTATCATCACTTGTAATTTGTATTTTGTTAAAGTAATTTATTTGTTGTACAATAATTTACATAATTGTTAATCGTATTGATTATTTTCAATAGTTTAAATCAATACAATACAACACTTATTGAGACTCTTTATAAAGAAATGCATGTCTAAGGAAATGGGGACTTAAGCGATCATCATGATCCCCCCATGACCTGGGAAAATCGGGTTCTAAGCGATCCTCGGATCCCCCCTTTTTCTGTCAAAAAGACTGTGTTTCTAAGGAGATGTATACCTCTCCTAAGAGTCTTACGAGTGTACTTGTATTGCTTTAAATTATTGAAAATAATCAATACGATTAACAAAATAATTTTTATGTTAGTAACTTGTATATATTCTATTAATGTTTATTAGATAATGTATATTCTATAAAATCGCTTAATTTAATATTGCATCTTAAAAAATTGGTTTAGTTATGTTAATTAGATAATGTATATTTCTATAAAATCGCTTGATTTAATTAATATTGCATCTTATTAAATTATTTTAGTTATGTTAAATTTGACGAATATTCTGCATCTTCTCTTTAAGGAATGTTCCATCAACTTGAATCACAGGAACACAGTATGGGAAACCATCAATACATGGCTTGAAGGCCCAGAAAAGACGCTTGAATTGACGATTGTTACCAGCAACCGGCGATTGAATTTCTTCATCTTGGTAGCGAGGCGAGAAAATGGTTCCAGGGTTAGACACCTCCAACGCCAAAATCAGTTTGGGAAGGAATGCATATGATTCTTCCCAGTCCCCAAACACGGCAGCCATTGCTTTCTGTTTCCCATGCCACGCTTTCTTGTAGTTAATGATATAACCATAACGACTAGAAATGTGGGCGATGATGGTTTTCACCTTCAGGTCGGGCTGCTCCTCAATTAGATGTTTGATAGCCGCGGCAACCACCCTTGATTTCAACTGTCGATGGCCTTGTGATGTTATTGATGACACACATGTGTGTGTGTTCACCGCACGGGATATGACCCAATGACCGACTCTCTTGCTCCTGATGGCCCGGACCCTAGCTGTGCATCCCTCATTGTGGTTTCTGCATCGAACCATCAGCCTCTTTGTGTCGGAATGGGTTGTCTGCCATTCAAAACTCCGAGTCATTGCTTCAGCTTCAATAGCGTGTCGAACCTCATTCTTCGTTGCAAATTGTTGCCCCTTCATAAAGCCAGTTAGTGGACCCCATAATGGCACATCTGGCGGGTCCATGTCGGCATCAACATACCAATCTTCACTTTGAAGTTGATTGTAGTATGGAATAGGTACACGGTCGTGAGGTACCTCATCACCATCTGCGTCTGAATCTGGACCGGAATCATCAGCACCTTCCAGCGGATCGGAGCTGTCTGCACTAACTTCGCCTTCCTCTTCTTCAACCTCATGGTCACTAACTGGACTTGGATTGACCTCTTCTTCCATCTGATTTTCAGCATGAAAGGCACCTTGACCTCCACTAGCTCCGTAATGGTAGTTGTGGTAACTAACACCGCTTTGATAGAAGTTGTACTCGGGTGGGTACTGGTAGACTGCTTGTTGGTTGTAATCCGCCTGTTGAGCTTCTTGTTCATAGGAATGGAAGGATTGATGACTTCCTCCAGTTCCATGATGATACTCCTGACTCCAACTCGAGGTTTGGAAATCCTGGTGGGGAGTATCTTCGTATAATACACTCCCACCGTGGATACCAGATGTTTGGCCATCTCCAGAATGACCTACACTGCCTTCGACGGCCTCGGTGTAAACGAACATCTCCGCTTGCTTAATTGTATTGGTGGTCAAAAATTGGACCATGGCATCAACGTCCTCCTGAGTGTTAAGGAGGAATTCCTCATGCCACAGGGACCCGTGATGTCTGTTTGGATATCGATACACCATTCGATCAACTCTTCTACTGCCATCCATGCAGGTAATCTGAGTGCACTGACGGTGGAGCTCTTCAAGCATCGGTCTCGTACGGACCTTCATTTTATGAAAATTGCCACCGACGTAACTTACACCCTTTTCGGTCTCTTCCGTGTAACCATTCCACCGCAACCCAAGCGTGAACCTTTGGAATGCCATCTGCAATGAAAAGTAACACAAGTTACTAACATAACAACACAAAGAAAAATGAAAAGTAATTCAAATTACTAACATAAAATCACAAATGACAATGAAAAGTAACACAAGTTACTAACATAAAAATTATTTTGTTAATCGTATTGATTATTTTCAATAATTTAAAGCAATACAAGTACACTCGTAAGACTCTTAGGAGAGGTATACATCTCCTTAGAAACACAGTCTTTTTGACAGAAAAAGGGGGGATCCGAGGATCGCTTAGAACCCGATTTTCCCAGGTCATGGGGGGATCATGATGATCGCTTAAGTCCCCATTTCCTTAGACATGCATTTCTTTATAAAGAGTCTCAATAAGTGTTGTATTGTATTGATTTAAACTATTGAAAATAATCAATACGATTAACAATTATGTAAATTATTGTACAACAAATATACATTATCTAATAAACAAAGGACAATGAAAAGTAATTCAAATTACTAACATAAAATCACAAATGACAATGAAAAGTAATTAAGTTACTAACATAACATCATAAAGGACAATCAAACGTAATTAAGTTACTAACATAAAATCACAAAGACAATGAAAAGTAATTACGAAACAAACTTACGAATTAACGTTAATCGCAAAAACTAAATAATTTAAAGGTGCAAAGCTGAAATTTGAGGATTTTTGTGTGAATTGAGGAAGGAAGTGTGAAGAATTGTGTTCTCCGAAACAGCCTTTTATAGGCAAATTTTGCACCAAAACCGCTTGGGGGGGGAGCGGTTTTGGGTCTGCCATGCAGCCCTACCCCTGCATGCCGACATGTCGGATGTCGGGTGACCAGGCACAAACCGCG